CCAACGGGGTGGCTCCTGAAAGCAAACCTCCTCCTTTTTTTTTTTTTTTTTCTCCAGGAAGAAAAGACAAGTGTTGTGTGGTGATTACTGTGAATGCAAGTAGTGCCTTATTTATTTATTTATTTATTTATTTATTTTTATATGATAGTAGGAATTTGTCCCGGAGCTCGCTTCTGAATGTAGCCGCGTCCCCAAGTGCTAAACTGAGCAGGACCAGCGTGAGGGGTAGGGGTTTGATAGATTAGGGTGAAAATGTGCAGCGTGAACATATATTGCCCCAAACTGAATCCGTGTAAGACTGAGCTGAAGGGAGGACATTGCTTATATTCAGTTCCAACAAAAGTTAACGATGAAGCCAGCTGAGGTTATAAAAATGGCAGTTCTTAGGCTACACTGTGCAAAAGCTTGTGTAGATTTACTCTCAAGTGAGTAACCATTGCTTTGCTGCAAGCAGTCCCTAAGAGCTAAAAGGAAAATAAATACAACTCAAGACTGTGCCATTCTCTGTCATTTGTATCAAAAGGTTAGGTTTAAGAAATGAGCGTGGGTATGAATCACTCTGTATAATGTTAGTTTTGTGAAAAGAAGATGGTGCAGCCATTTTTTTCTGTAACTATGATGTATTCCATTGAAGCAACACCTGAAACACAAATGTTTCAGTTGCTTCTCAAAGCATCAGTGCTTGCTCTCTTGTCTGCAAGCAGAATCTTCTTCTAAGTCTCTCTCAAATCAAAATGTGAAGCCCTGTCCTTTCTAAAATAGGACTGTCTGTGTGCACGTGTTATTACTACTACATTAACACTCGTTTATAAAACTGTGACATGAGTTAATATGTGAAATATGCTTTCTAGGCTTCGTTGTGCAAAGAATTCTAAGTTTATCAGGGTCTTAACTGGTTCCTTCTGCTCCTTCATCTGTCTTGCCTTGCTCTTCTCCCTCCTTCCCGGGGACCTTCCTCTCCCTTTCTCCTTCCATATGCCTTTCATTGCGCACGACACGGTGAACCCTGCTTCCCTGTTGAGGTTTATGGCAGGACTGCAGTTTAATGGAGAGTGTTGGCATGTTTTAGCATTTTGGTGTATGATCATATGGGGCAAGAAGAGATCAGCTTAGGCGACCGTGTATGAGATGGCTCTGAAGTATATTACCACTACTGTGCATGTAGATATCCTTTAAATTGCATGAGAATACAGGAGTATCAATTTGTCATTGGTTTGCTGCAATCTTAAAAATATCTAATAAGTCTAGTAAACGATGCTGTGCTCTGTGTTTGTGCTGGGATGGCCGTATCACTGCTTGTGGCACATGGGCATCTACCCCCCCTCTCCTACCTTCACCTGGGGGAGAAAAAGCTCTTGCAGCAGAGCTGGGCACTGTTCGAGTCAGTGCTGCTGCCGACCTGAGTGAAAATCATCCTCTCTGAGGGATAGGTGCTTTATATAGTATATAAACTATATGCGAGCAAAGTATTTTTTTAGACTGTACCAAAACCATATCCCCCGCACTGCTCCTTGGTTCACAAGTGTAGACAAAGTTTCTGGCAATTGCATCCAAATGCTTCATCATTCAGCTTCTGAGCAGAGCATCTTAAATAGTGACGGGCGAGTAAAGTGTTAACCCCAAGCCTGGGTGAAATCACCTCAGGAAAAAAATCAAACCCTATGTGATTTAAAATTACCTTGAGAGAGACAGGGCCGAGCTAATAAAGCAGTGTAGGTGTGAAGTGCACTTAAACTTTGGACAAGTAAGGAAGGAGGATCACTGGGTTTTTGGCTTTAAGAGAAAGGGTGAAGCTCGCAATATCTACCTATCTAGAAGGACACTCCGTTGTTTCCCTTGACTATTTTTCTTTTGTTTTTGCAGAATCCTGTGACTGTTTCTTTTATAGGGGGAACAAAATTACTCCGTTAATTTCAACCAAAATAGTTTTCAATTGATTTTTTTTTCCCTCAAGATTTTGTTTTGTTTTCATTAGCTGGAAATTTCTTGCACTGGGCTGCCACAGTCTTTGCATGTGAGATATTGTGTTAATGCCCTTTTGTTCTGGGACAGGCAGCACAGACCTGGATTTTTTTCTCCTCCTCCGGCTCTTTTTTTGTTTTGAGACTCTTCCTTTAAGCCAGCAAGACAAAATACGGAGATTTTGAGGCCTCCAGAAATATTTCTTCATTAATTCCTATGTCAAATAGTAATCAGTCTTACAGTTCAGTATCTTCTATGGAGCTTCTCATGCTGGACTGTTTTATCCATACTGTAACCTGGAGAGTCGAAGTGCTGCTCAGGGAGTCCAAGTCGGGACAGCTGTGCCAGGCAGCTGGTGACAGCACCATGTTGTGCTGGCAAGTGCATTTTGCTGTTCTTTGCCACTAATTCTACTCCCACCTCTTCCTTCAGTGATAATTATGTTATTGGTTGGTACAAGAAAAATCATTTAGAGTGCAGTGGGGTTCGAGTCCCCGTCGTACCAGATACGTGAAATGGACAGCCTTTAGCAATAAGGCAGAAGGAATAAGATCAGTGTCTTTGCAGAGTCCTGTTATTGCCATGATTTTTGTTGCTGTGTTTTTCAGGTCAACATCACATGAACTTGTTTTGCTCACAGAGACGGGCCAGGTGACAAAGGGCCAGCTAATGCAGCCC